GCGCTCGTATGCGTAACGCAGTCACGCGTGATGTGTAAAGCTACCTCAACTTCAATTGAAGTGAGTGGCTACACTTCCCAACAGAGCAGAGGCAAGTAACATGTTAGAGGCGTTAGAGGGCTAAATAATTGAAGGCGTTGTAAGTAGTGCCAAGGAAGGTTTCACTCAGTGCTCATTTATCATCCGAATGGATGAAACATGAGCGGAAACACAAACAGAGTGAATACAACTGTAGCTAAGGTGAGGTGAATGAAACAGCTGCGGACCTTCTGAGAGTGTTTGACTGCTTCAGTTGAGGCGGATCTTCGTCGAGCAGAATATGCGGAGTAGGTGATAATGCCACCTGAATTAGACCTCCATCAAGAGGCAACGATGGAGTATTCTTGCAAACGACGTTGGTATGAGCGGGGATTGGAAGAGGACATTTCGGCTGAGCAAAGGTCTTTGCACGATTGGTGAGTTTGTTGTAAGCGTGTGAGCAATTTGTCAAAGAGTCGCAAATTCTGCACAACGCTTCCAATGTATGCGGCAATCGAGGGGAGTTAATTGCAACCGAGGAGTCGATGGGTTAAGGTGGGTTGGTTTCAGCTGGGGTGAGTTAAAATTGGAGTGGGGTGGGGTGGGGTGGAGTAAGGCGGAGTTGAACGAAATGGGGAAGGAGGCAGGCAGGCGGACCAAGATGCGAGTGGGAGAAACACGAGCGCTACCTTTACTTTTCTCTTCCTGGTACAATACGCGTTCCGCCTCCTCTCCTCTCAGCTAGTCTCGTCTCATCTCTCACCTCCTCCATTTCCCTTCTCTTCCATCGCATTGCATTGCATCGCTTTCCATTCTATTCTCTTCCCACCTTTCCTCCTTTTTTCGTTCCCACAGCCCATGTGTCATGGATCGCTGATCTTCATAAGCAGTGCTATTAATCAATCAGGTTTAGACTACGGAAGAAGGGAAGAGGATCGATATGTTGAACAAGAAGTAACGGAAATGCTGGCAATATATCGGCTGGTTAAATTTATACATCTCCTCCTCTCTCCGTCACGTACTTTTGATACGCCTTCTCAGCATGCTTCTAAAGCACCTTCACTATCATTAACTGACTGAATTGAGTGATGGTCGCATCCGAATTTGGATGAAAGAAAAGGAAGTGGGTAGATGTTATGTATGGTAAAACTGAGTGAAGTGAAGGTATCGTATCATGTTTGAATCTGGCCTGAGAACGGAGGAAGCAGTGCCGTGGAAGGCTGTTTTTCGTTGTGCTTCGTACACAAGACGGAAGCGTGAAAGTGTTCTGTTTGTGCGTCAGTCTCGACGATCGCAGTTGTTGTTGTGACCAATTTCACACCCTGGTCCATGCAAATACATCAGCAACGTGAACGAAGAGGGAGATGTGGATGATGATAATGATGACGCCGATAATGATGGTGATGATAATAATACTAATAATCATAATGATAATTATAATAATAATGATAACTACAATAATAATGATAATAATAATAATGGTAATGGTGATGATGGCAAGGTGAAAGCGAAAGCAGGGAAATGGATGAAGGTGATGATGCTGATGACGACGCGGAAGACGAGGATGATGGTACTATGATGGCGCACGACAATGCGAAGGCTGTCGATTTCCAATTAGTAGCAGGAGTAGTAGTGGTAGGGGTATCAGCAGCGGTAGTGGTGGTGGTAGTAGTATGGTAGTAGCGGATTGCTCAAACCACACGTCCTCTCTGTTGCAACATTTACGATGCCGAATGCTCGAAGACGTCCTTAGGGGATTACGTTTTGTGCAACTCTTATGCGCTAAAATAGTTACTTCCACTTGAAAAGCCAATAATGTCGAACTAATTGTAGGGTGCTTCCGACTCGTACAATTATATGCAATGATCCGCGTGCCTGGTTGCATGAATTCTGCGAAGTTTCTTGTCAAGCGGATAAAAAGTAATGTTTAAAGGATGGCATTGAGATTGTAACC